CCATGTGGATTTTGTTGCTTCTCAGCTAGATGGCCACTTGTTTATCTTCAAGCCTTTAAGACTCCAGATGCTGTATCTTTTGATAGCCGGGCACCATCAGCTTTCTTCACCACATTTGCTTATATACCTGCTTTGTCTGCAGCGATCCTGTCAGGAAGGTGAGCATCACCTTGGTTATTAGAACCAAGTGTTCTTGCATGGAGGGAGTATTTGAGTAGAGGCCTTTATTTTTCAAGCCACCTCTAGGTGGACTCAAACCACCAGCCTTTCAGTGAATGGTTAAGTGCGTAACCATTGGGAACTTCCATACCAATAAGTATCACAGTCAGTCTGCTGGCCCACTCCAGTTCCCCCTGCCTCCCCCCCCACCCCCCATCACCGTCCTGTCCCTTGGAGAGGAAGCCGGAACAAGCAGCCAGGCTAAGTGGCCCTTGTGGAGGTTTGGCCATAGCTGCCCCTCAGTGAAGGGTCTGCACTAAGATCGGAGAAGGCAGCACTGTTGGTCCATCATCGCGACTGTGGTCCATTCACTTCTATTACCTCCTTCACAATGATCATCTGGTGTCGCTGAAATGATGGCCCTTACTTGGGGAAACTGAGGACATGAAAGGTTGATTGTCTTGCCCAAGGCCACCCACGTTACCAACCTAGGCTTCCTCGCAGCCATCTGGCACTCTTCTCTCCTATTCAGCTCCCGGGAAGCACTAAGTGATCATGATTGGTGCTAACAGTGGCGATGCTTTAAAGCTCCTGCTAGAAATCTCCCCACCTGCTAGAGCTCTGGCTGCTTTGATGGGGAGGCAGCTTGGGTGATTCTGTAGCTGGCCCAGGTCTCTCAACCAGGCTAGAGGTTGGTGAAGAGCAGAAGGACAAGGGCTGTCACAGTAATCACAGCTGGCTGCCTGTCCAGTGAGAGGTTTGTGCATCCTGTGTGCCCCATTGTCATTCCTCCCATGGGCTGCTAACCGCCAGATCCCCAGTTCGTACTTACCAGCCACTCTGCAGGAGAAAGCCGGGCTTTCTACTCCTCTACAGAGTTACGGTCTCGGGTATGCACAGGGGCTGCTCGGCCTGTTCTGTAGGGTGGCTGTAAGTGGGCATCGACTGGATAGCTTTGAGCTTGAGGTTTTTCAGTTTTGTTTTGGGGTGGGGGTGGGAAGCAGAGGGAGACCCCTGACCCACAATTAATCCTCAACAAGACTGAGACCTTGGACATTAGAGTTTCAAATCAGACAAGGAACCCAAGCCTAGGAGGTAAAGGGACAGTATTGCTTCTGCAGCCCAGCGGTGGTGGAGCCTTTCTGGACCCGAGGTCCCACTGAAGAAGAAGCAGGTGTGCAAGGCCAGGTCCTGGACTTGGGGGAGGGGAGGGAGGTAGCGGGTGTGAACAATGTAAGGAGGCTCTTACTTTCAAGATGCTGCACTTACACAACACTGAGAATGAGTGCCCGAGACACTCCTTCGTGCTACCCTCGTCTTGTCCTGGCAAGAGCTCTCCTTTAAGGAGGAGTGGAAGGAGACTCTTAGTTTGATGTGGAGGTGGTGGAGGGGCTGGGGGAGCGGTCAGCGTGGTCAGGTTGATCTCCCCAGGAACTCAGCGGCTGTGTCTGCCCATCCACAGCCCGTCTGTTGGTTACTGCCCTGCAAGGCTCAACGGTTTCTGCTGCCTTCTAGAATCTGAACTGTCAGCCAGGATTCAAGACATTGAGTCGATCCTTCAGATTTCTGGCTCCCCAGAGGGGCTCTCAGAACCCTAGGGCCCCTCTGGAGAGTTGTAGACGCACCACGGCTATGAAGAGGAGCTTTTCAAGTAAATTTGGTTATAAAGGTGCAGGGCAACGAGGAGAAATTCCGGGAAGTCTGCCGCTCGGCTCCTTTGGCCGAAGCACCACCAGCGCTTGGCTTCCCATGCTCTGGGGCAGGGAGTGGCATTTCCAGGAAGACCCGTCGGCTTTGAGTGGGATATTCCACATCTAACTAAGCTGGTCCTGAGAGCAAGGTCACGGGAACCACCCGCGGCTGTGTGCTGGTCGTCTGTTCTCAGGCCAAATCAGCTCCAAATCCCCTGTAGCAATCAGTGTGTCTGCTCCAGGCTGTTTGCCTCACACCAGGAAGACCCTCCTGTCAACAAGGAAATCGGCACAATAGCAGCCCACCTACTAGCGAAGACCTTCCTCTAAATACCATGTAATGAGACAATCCATTTAACCGCGTCCACAGATGTGTTTGGAGAGGGAAAACCAAAAAAGAACGAGCACACTTAGTATATCTTAAATTGAAAGAACTAAAGAAAAAAATTCAAGCTTCAAGTTGCTATATTGTAAGATCCCATGGGCAAAGTGTTGAATGATGCAGGAAGCATCAATGAAAGATGGAAAGAATACACAGAGTCCCTGTACCAAAAAAAAAAAAAACCTTGTCTACATTCCATCATGTCAGGAGATAGTATGTGGGCAAAAACCAATGGTGCTGAAGGAAGAAGTTCAAACTACACCCAAAGCATGAGGCTCCTAAAGCAAGAGTCCAGGAATGGATGGAATACCCACTGGTCTGTGCCAAGAAATTTGGAAGACAGCTACTTGGCCATCTGACTGGAAGAGGTCCATATTTGTGCCCACTCCAAAGAAAGGTGACCCAACAGGATGTGAAAATTATAGAACGATATCACTGATATCACGTGCAAATAAAATCTTGCCGAAGATCACCCAACAATGGCCGCAGCTGTACATGGACAGGGAGCTGCCAGCAGCTCAGGCCAGATTCAGAAGAGGATGCGGAGCAAGGTATGTCATTGCCGATGTCAGCTGGGTCTTGGCTCAAAGCAGAGATTCCCAGAAAGTTGATTACTTGTGTCTTATTGCCTGTGAATCATAACAAACTATGGACAGCCTT